CCGCCGCCGCCGCCGCCCCGGCCGCCGCCATGTTGGGAGTGCCGCGGCGCGCCTGACCTTTCACCCTGGCAACCGGCGTCACGTGCGCCGCGCGCGCGCCCGGCCCCGCCCCCGAGCGCCCGCCAGGCCCCGCCCCCTCCAGGGTCGCCAGATTTAGCAACTGAAAAGGTTCCGCGTCCGAAATGCAAATTTAACGGGACACTCATTTTTGCAAACGATCGGCTGCTGATCGGAAGCTTACTTTTAACCGGGGGCCCTGTGCTTTATCCGGAAGCCCCACCGGGGGCGCTGACCTTGACTTTTTTAATCTGAGATCCTAACTCCGACACGCAGCCGGACCCCCACCCAGACTCGGACGTGCTGTGGTGCCGGAGTACGGGGCTTTCCAGTAGACCGCAGCCGATTTCTTTGCAGGCCTGGGAAATAAAGCTTCCTGGCGTCCCCCGGATCCGTGTCCGAGGGCGCTGGGGGAAGGAGGGTCCCAGGCAGGGCGGCAGCTTTACTGAGCAGAAAGAAGGGCTCCCGCCGGAGGGGCCGGGGGCAGCGCGGCCCGGCAGTGCCTGGTCCGGGGGGTTTAGAAGCCTTCTCTGGGCAGCGGCCCCTGGTGACCGTTTTCCCAGTGGTCGGCTTATTTACTTATTTTTTTAAAGATTTTATTTGACAGACAGAGAAAGAGCGAGAGAGGGAACACAGCGGGGGGAGCGGGAGAGGGAGAAGCAGGCTCTCCCCTGAGCAGGGAGCCCGATGCGGGGCTGGATCCCGGGGCCCTGGGATCATGACCTGAGCGGAAGGCAGACGCCCATTGGTCGGTTTAGGGACTTTTCTATATAGGCTCTGGCGCCAGGACCCGGTGGGCATGGCGCTCTGTCCTAGCTTCCTGTGATCCGGGCCCATGGTTTAGCCTTACACACTCTATTTTCAACATTCTGTGTCTCCCAACGTCTGTAAAATGCCAGTCTCCCGAGTATGTGTCACCGTTATGGTGTGGTTACATTGGTGACTGGATAGGGTTCCTACCTTGGTCCCCTAGGGGTGCTTTGCTTGGATGCAGATGGTAGCATTGGTATCAAGAGCCAAATGTTGGTCCAAGGACGGGGGTATCCTCTATGAGGAAATCCTCCATTCCTGACTTAAGGAGCAATAAGTAGTTGCTCAAGTTTGCAAAAAAATGGAAGTGGTCCCTCAACGTGGAATGAGAGGTTGGCCTGTGCCTTTGCCCATTCCGTGAAGTTGGCCGGATCAGCCTTCCAGTTGTCTGGTGGGGATGGACTCACACACAGCCAACAGTTCTCAGCACGGACTGGTGTGGCTGTGGAACCTTTTAACAGGCTGGAGGCTGCCTTTTTGCTCCCAGATGTGGGTGCTCGGGGGGGTGCCAGCAGAAAGGAGTTTCACACACAGACAAATGAGTCTGATGGGCAGAAGGCCAAGGCGGCCCATAGGGCTAATGCTAGGAGAACAGAGGAGGAGCAAGGGTGCCTGGGTGGCTCAGTTGGTTGGGCGTCCAACTCGTGGTTTTGGCTCAGGTCGTGATCTCGGGGTCATGGGATCGAGCCCCATGTCAGGCTCTGCCCTCGGTTGGGAGTCGGCTTGAAAGATTCTTTCCCTCTGCCCCTCCCCCAACTGGTGCACATGCTCACTCTCTCTCTCACACACACATAAATGAATACATAAATCTTAAAAAAAGAAATAAAGGAGGAGCATAACCACGGTTTCTGACAGGGTTCCCACTCCTGGGGAGACACTGCATATAATCCTATGGCAAAGATGAAAGGCAAGAAAGCACCTGAAGCTACGAATGACCAAGAAAAGCTAATAGTCATTACCTATCTGGCATCAAGGAAAGGTCTGGATTTTTCCTGAGAAGGAGCTTCAGATCTTTTAGAGGTTCATCTCCTATGGAGTCAGGCCTATCCCCTGGGGTGTATTCCTAATCCTTAACAGGACCATGGGCAGCAGAGTTGGCCATGGAAGTCCTGTCTCCTGGGTGAGCTCCCTGAGGTGCCTTTTGAGGAGGTCCTTCGTTTTTCCTGCCTTTCCTGAAGATGGTGGTCTCCAGGCACAGCGCAAATGGTATTGGATCCCCAGCGCCTTGGAGACTCCTGCAGTAACAGCCGCCGTAAAGAGGGGCTGTTGTCACTTTGTAGGTTCCGTGGGAGCCCGACCCGGGGAATTATCACACTCTTTGTTACTTCTGAGGCTTGCTCTGCCCTACAGGGAGAGGCCTCTACCGGGTTAGTAAGGATGTCTGTGCAGACTAGGAGAGAGCGGATTCCTCGAGATCTGGGCATGTGGGTGAAACCCATTTTGCCGGGCCTCCACAGGGTAGCTTCCCTTTAGCTGTATGCTGGCGGGGGCTCTTCTTCTGGCGCAAAAGATCTTGGTAGCCATTTTCAGGAGGCTGTCCAGAGTTTCCTCCTGTCCTCTAGGAGATTTTTGTAACTTTTCTAATGTCAGAAGTAGACTGGATGAGGGGCACCTGGGTGGCTCCGTCGGTGAAGCGTCTGCCTTCCGCTCAGGTCCTGGGATTAAGTCCTGCTTCAGGCTCCCTGCTCAGGGGGGAGTCGGCTTCTTCCTCTGCCTCTGTGTTCTCTCTCAAGGAAATAAATAAAATCTCTCTATATAATGAAAAGAAGTAGACTGGGTGATAAAGAATAAGTCCTTAAGAATAAGCTGCCCCTGGTAATTATCAGGGTGCAGGTTGGTAAGTTTAATCGTTTAATCAGGGCCTCTCAGAATTTTTCCAGTAAGCCTGAGGGGGTTCCTCTCCTTGCTTGACCTGAGAAGGCTGGGCATAATTAAGAGGTCTGTCACAAGTGTGCTTGACACCCTCAGTAATGCATTGAAAGAAATGTCTGGTCTTCCATCTCCCTCTTCCTCAGTGGCTCCCTCCCCCCCGCCCCCCATCATTAGTCGGGACAGCCTGGCTCCCAGTGGGACCTGGAAGGGTGTCAGCCTCCTCTAGAGGTTCTCTTTCGTCTATTCCTTGTGTGGAGTCTGCCCCTGGTCTCGGGCCTTCCCCGTCGAGGGGCGCTCGGACGCAGGCTGGATTCCAAGGAGGGCCTGGGTTTCCCGTTGTCCACTGCTCATCTCCATGAATCACAGCCACCCGTATGATCCTTTTCAGAGGTAGAGAGGGTCTGATTCAGGAGGAGCATACTATCTCTCCAGATAAGACGGAAGACCTGGCTGTCTTTTAGGGGGACCTCAATATACTCATCAGGATCATCCAAACATTTTCCCATGTACTTTTTTTTTTTTCCCCGTGTACTTTTTTATTTGCTTCAACTCCTGGAGCAAGAAGGCGTGGGAGACCCGCGCGGGGTTCGCTCCGTCACTGGGGGCTTGTTCCTGCAAGGGGAGCAGAGAGGGGTGACGGGATGCTTGAGGCTCTGGTTTGTATGGAGGGGGTGCGCTATGCTTTGGTGGAGCAGCTCCCTGTCTGTTTGGTCAAGATCTGACTTCTCCTTTTTACGTGTCCCTCCCTTGTTCCAGTCTGTTGCACCACGGCCAGAGGGACTGGGCCGTTCACATATTTCCTCTCCGAGCCAGTGCTACCCCGAAGCGCGAGGAGAGCCCACGCAAAGGAACCTCAGACCATTGGCCTTATTTTTTTTTAACGGAGAGGTCCAATTGCAGAATGGTGTCATGGTTCATGCTTCCCTCAGGAGGCCGTTTTCTCCATCTTCCTGTTGGTACTCGGACCATGCACAAGTGCAGAGAATAGCAAGCATTTCTTTTGAGGGTCAGCTGTAGAGGATGCCCTCCAGGGGAGTGTGAGCTGTGGGGGGCGTATTCCCCCATCTACCAAATAAGGAGGAACTCCTGAGCGCCCACAAGGTTCTCCAAATCTTGAATGGGGCCTGAACAGGATGTCTCCTGCCACCCCTGTCCCCTCCTATCTCTGCATCTAGGAGCAGGGTCGAGGTGCATCTGGGGTGGAGCTGCTCCGTACCCGTGTGGCCTTTGTTTCCTGTGCCCTCCTTTTCCTTTTCCAATGTTAGGGTTGCCTGTGTGCAGTGAGCCTCTCCCCACTAGATCCTCAGGTGCACAGCCCGTGGCGCTTCCCCGGGGGGTATCTGCCAACCATTGCCGCAAAATTATCATCGGCAGACTGAGTTCTCTCCCCGACTTAGAGCTCCACATGAGAGCTCGGGGTGTGTGATCCGATTTAGGACCCCGCTCTGGTGGCATTCCCTGAGGGAGGCGAATCAGGGATTGCCCCATTTGCATGCCCTCTCGGCTACCCTACCTGGAGACGTCCCTACGCCTGCAGAGGGTGCAATGAGCCTTTGCCAGGCGGAAGACTGGAGGCGGGACCATGGGCCAGAAGGGGCCACAGGTGTCATCTATGGTCCCAGAGACGCCCCCATCTATCACCCGGTGCACGATCTCAGGAAAAAACTCAGGGTCAAAGGGATCCAGGGAAAAGCGGGGACCTGTTTGCCATGGCTCAGGAAAGAGAGAGAGACTGAAATCTCCTCAAGGCTCAGGCACTGGGGATTACGAGCGGGCCCTCTGTTCCAAGGCTCCAGGCACCACAGGCCAAGGGGAGGAGACGAAGCCAGGACATCGAGAGGAGATCGCTCCGCTCCGC